AGAAACTGAACATTATTTACAACATTATTACCTGTAATCCAGAGCCTCAGGCAAACAGGGAAATCTGATTCTTCTCTGCAAACTGGTTCTTTTGGACCGTTCGTTTCAATGAACTGATTCCGTTCACAAGTTTGTTTACATAATCACACAATGATGAAATGTATACGTCATTATATTATTAAAGCACCCAATAATGTTGTGAACACAGATGTTTTATCTGTCTAAAGTGTATAAAGTCAATAAACTAGTTTTCATCAGCTCACCTTTTTACATAAACCATAAGAAACCATAAAAATGACCACGATATGAGAAATTTTATTTCATGACATCTAAATTGTGTATATATATTTATTTATTTACTTACTTACTTACTTACTTATACAGTGGGTACGGAAAGTATTCAGACCCCCTTAAATTTTTCACTCTTTGTTATATTGCAGCCATTTGCTAAAATCATTTAAGTTAATTTTTTTTCCTCATTAATGTACACACAGCACCCCATATTGACAGACAGATGTATCATAATTAATACAGTTTTATATTATTCTTTGAATTATTTATGGTTCAGTTATTCATGGTCCATGTTTTATTATTATTATTATTTTTTAATGGAAATATGATATATGACCACAATATGTGGAATTTTACACACACACACACACACACACACACAAGTACATAATTAATCAGACAGACAGGTATTTAATTAGGCTGCTGTCCCTTTAAGACCGAATGAATGTAATATACTGACACATATATCCGGTTTTCACCCACCTGTTTACGTTCACTTAAGTCATAACCAATTGTATTTACATGAGATTCTGCTACTTGTGCTGATCACCCAGTCGTAAAGAAATTTGGAAATACGGAACAAAACGGGATTTTTTCAAAATAAGTCGGGACACTAAAAATAGAGCTGAAATACGGGACTGTCCCGGGAAAAATGGGACGTCTGGTCACCCTAGCTAAAAAATCTTCTTTACTTTTCTACTGAAGAAAAAAAGTCACCTATGTCTTGAATGGCCTGAGGGTGTGTAAATCAACAGCAAATTTTCATTTTTGGGTGAACAATCCGTTTAAGAGACATGACAAAATGGATGTTTATATTTAAATCAATAGGCTTGGCTGAAACCTTTTAATGAGTGGCATTTCTCTCTTGTGTGGGTGTCTAGAGTAAATACAGGACGCAATGATGACTGTCTAATGGCTAGACTGAATCCAGCTAATGCTAAAGATAGATATGATTTTATTCTGGAGTTCTACAGGGGTGAGTGGAGACAGACATCACATGGCTTACTGATATACGCATAACAGCATATGCAACGCATAAATTGC